TACATCAGGACTAAGGGAACACTGAATGACCTAGTGGTTTTTGTCCATAAAACTACTCACAAAAGATTACCACAGAGTAAAAGATCTCTCAGCAAAATTCTGCAACATTTTAGGCACTATTGCCCCGATCAAATCAGTGAGCTGGGATCTTTTAGTCTAAACATGAACTACTGTTACCAGTTGGTGTTGGCACAAAACCTTCGGCCTTCTATTAGAAAGCGGAAGATAAAGAGGAACTTCATCTTTCAGCACAGCAATGACCCAAAGCACACATCCAGAACAACAACAGAATGGATTCACCGGAATAAGACTGAGGCTTTGGAAGAGACCGGACAGAGTCCAGACCTGAATTCCAACATCTGTCAGCTGATCTGAAGAGGGCTGTGCACAGGAGATGTCCTCGCAATCTGTCCGATTTGGACGGTTTTTTGCAAAGAAGAGTGAGCAAATATTTCCACATCAAGATGTGCCATGCTGATAGGTTCCTACCCAAAAAGACTGATTAGAGTGATAAAAGGCAAAGGTGCTGCAACAAGGTATTAGTTTAAGGGTGTGCATATTTGTGCAACCAGGTTATTTTAAGCCAAATCTGTGCCTTTGTGTGATTGGCTGCATTTCCATTTTTCTATCGTATATGTACTGTATGTGTTTTACAGCCGCGCCTGGACACCAGTCAGCGACCCCTGGCTCAAGGACAGGATGGTCTGTAGGCCTGTGTGACTGAAGCCTCAAACAGGTTTAAAGGAACTCTAGAATGAAGACACCAGCTGAGGTCTAAATCAGCACGTTGATGTTGGGATGAAATGGATGTCTTACCCTGATTTCTCCATCGGTTCCGATCCGAAATGAGACTCTGAAGCCGTAATATTGCTGGATCCTGGGAAAGTTTGGCAGGTCATCAGTCCAAGGCAGTGAAATGTTGATCTGGATGTAGTTTTCATATCCGACCAGTGAGACCTCTGGAGGGCCTAATTTAGCTTGTAAACAGAAGAAAACACGCGGTCACCTTTTGGTAAAGATTCAACCAATCCAGAGATTTTAGTTAAATCAAAGCCTGATGCATCTGGATTATGGGACACACTTAAATCCAAATGCACCAGTGTGAAACCCAGAAGACACTCATGTTGACGTACTTTCTTTGTAAGGGACAAACTCAATTATTTTGGACCTCGGAGACCGGGTTTGGTTGAAGAACGCTTTGACGTGCAGGTAATAATGAAAGTTCCACTCTGGTAGCATCAGCGGCATCGATGTTCCAGATGTTAGGTTGCATTGGGGCTGCGTTGGTATGTTGCATTGCTGTTTCCAGATCTTTCTATTATCACTGAACAACGACAAACAGAACATTTTAGATCAGAAGGAAAAAAACAGTAAAAGAAACATTTGCTTTGTGATACGACTGTTTGCTCAAACAGCGACGATGAGCTGTTCATGTCTCAAATCCAACTGGTCCTGGATTCAAACGAAAGCTGATTTCTGATTGGACGTTTACTGTCAGGTTACCATTCATGAATAAGAGAGCTCAGAAGTCTGCTGCTTTGCTCAGACGCAGCTTTTCAAACCTAAGCCGTGCTGTCGAGGCTGTGACCTTTAACCTGCTGAGGCCTGTAGACGTGCTTCCAGATAAAAGATGATGCATTCAGGGTGCTTAAGACAGGAATATGACACAACACCAATATTTCAGAGCTAAAACAGGAAAAGTGAACGCACCATGTGTCTGTGGGTTAGCTTATTTACAGCAATGATAAAAACCCTGACACAGGTTTTATCCCCTCTGACAGCTCGTTCAGATCCTGATGGAAAACCATCCAATCATTTCTAAGACATGCAGGAAGGTGGCCGGATGCTGCTGCGTTTTAGCTGTAAGAGACAATAAAGACTCGTTGGACCCACAGGCTGTGGTTTGGTGACGAGGACGCTGTATGAGGAAGAACACAGTTTCTGAACTAGCTGAAACACACGAAGCCACGAGCAGTTTCAGTGTAAGCATGTTAAACCTTGCAAACGTAAAGCGAACCCTCACGATGAGTGCTGAAACGGAAACGGCGTCAGAGCCATCCCAGCTGCTCTCTGTGAACAAACCACCCAGGAGAGAGAAAGCACCCCGCCCAGGCAGATATTCCACCAACGAAGAAGAAGGAGCCAGTGAAGCTGACTGAAAACGTGAGCAGATTAAAGGTCGCGGTTCACCAGCAGGAGATCACCACAGCAACGCGGCCCAAACAATCAAAGTCAAACATTGTACAAAAACGTGAAAAATGACGGAAATGCAACAGATTTGGTGATCGGTACAAATGTTAGAAGATCCATTTAAATATGAAGGACGTGTACAAACGTGGGGCAGTCTCCATGGTTACATATCAGCTGATGATTTCCTACAAACATGTTCACAGAGATATCAGCTGTGAGAACTCCCACTGTCAGCGTGTGAGTCGTCCCTGCACACACACTAATATCTGTTATTGAGAATATTAGAATATTAAAGGTGAGCTTTGTGTCAGACACGTCGCCCCACGGATTACTCAGTACCCTTAAATTAGCTCTCAGGGCAAAAAGGTTGGTGACCCTGGTCTGAAGAGGTCCCCACAAACCTCAGCATGCCGCTCTGCTTTCACTTCCTGTTTCATCTCCACGCACTCCAAAATAACCACGATCTGTGTGCTAGAACATCTTTGTGTGTGTGTGTG